CCCTCTGGAATATTCATGCTAAGAAAGATACATTATAGATTAAATGGGTTAACCAAATCTACCTTCAAGTGAGGGATATTTTGGAGTGCATGGCAAGGAAAAATGATTCTCCATTTCTTAAAAAAATGTTCAAAATCAGGGATTCCATTGCTGGGAATGACAGAAATGGTCAGATTGCTGGAAATTTAATGAGAAACTGGAATAAAGCTAGAAAATTTTCTGTCCAAGCTGCCTATCATTTCTTTAGGCCGAAGGGGGAGGTAAGGTGCTGGACTAAGGATCTTTGGAGACCATTTATCACTCCAAAACATGCTTTTGTCCTATGGTTGGGACTCAGTCGAAGCTACTTACGAAGGATAGGGTTGCCATACCTTAACATTGACAAAAATTGTGCTTTTAGTGGATCACATTTTGAAAATGGACAGCATCTATTTTTTCAATGTTCATTTACATCTAGCATATGGATGAGGATTAAAGATTGGATGGGGATTAGGAGATCGATGACTACAATTCCGAGTGCTTTGAAATGGATCAAAAAGGAGGCCCGATGAATATCTTGGCAAAGTGAAACTAAAAGAATTGCACTTGCAAGCACCACTTACCATATTTGGATAATATGGAATAGAGAGGTTTTTGAGAATCTTTGCCCACAAGTAGATAACACTGTAAGACGTATTAAAATACACGTGTACAAGGTTATGTTTGCTTTGTATCCGTGTGTTTTGATTCATTATGAGTCGTTGGTTTTGGGACTATAGTTCTTATCGTTTGTACATCTTTTCTTTGGATTGCTTGAATATGCCTGAAGTAGTTGTACTTTACTTGTTATTTGATTGCCCGGGTATACCCGATGTACTTGTAAATGATTTTGATCAATAAAATTTACATTTATCAATAAAAAAAGACTTAGTGGGATAACCTCACAAACCTATTTGTCACACTGTATTTCTCAATGCAAACACTAATTTATATTTTCATGCATGATTATAAAATCTCATTTTGATAATAAATAAATTGTAATATTTATTTATTTTGATTTATTATATTTATTTAATATTAAGTAAAACTCATATTTGAATATGAAATTATTATTGTACAAGAATTGAAATTATTCTATCTCTATAAATAGATATTAGATGGAACCTAGCCATTCTACATACTACAACAATTATAAAACATAATTTTATAGTGTTTAAATTAAGAGGGAACCTAGACATTCTACATACTACAACAATTATAAAACATAATTTTATAGTTTTTAAATTAAGAAGAGAGAGAAAAAAAAAGAAAGAAAATAATTATTTTCTTATTTTATTTATATGTCCAACTCAAGAATCAGTTTATTGATTTAATTGAAAAGAAGGTGCATAACCATCGATGTTGTCTTGACTTTAGAGAATACCATGAAATACTTGAAAGTTTGGAGTGTCAAGTTCTTGGAATTAAAAAGCTAGAAACTCGTGGTTCAAAAAACTGGAAGTTTGTGATTCGAAATTAATTAGAGAATCGAACATCGAATTTGGGTAAACATTTGAATAATTTATTTTTGACATAATATGCACGTGATCATTTAGATGATCTTATTTATTGAATTTAAAAAAAAAATTTAATTTCTGATTAATTTTGCTTCCGCATCCAAAATTTATACGTGCAATTGAATCAATTATTTCCTAAATTGACTAGGATTGGGACTTGGAATTTGGTCCTATAAATTTTAGCGTATTGGATGCTGATTTCATTGGGGAAGGAAAACGTCAGAAACGTTTTGAGAGAGAAGGAATTAGAAGTTTATTTTTATTTTTTTCTTCATCAGTCCAATCTAGATTTTGGTTTGATTTTGATTTAATTACATCTGCCCACGTGCCAATATAGTTTTAATTTTGGAGAATATCATAAAAAATTTCAAGTTTTGGCGCTTCATGATTCTCTGGATCAAGAATAAATTATTAATTTTAGGTAAATTCGTAATCTAAGTTTCTTGATTATAAGATACACGTGAATATCTAGTAATGATTTTTAACTAAAGAAAAATTCTATTTTTCGGGTAATCTATTTTTAATATATTTGCGATTTTTTAAGACTTATAAAAGTCTTGATTTGATAACACAACTTTTATGGATTTCTTAAAACTCCATAAAAATTCATATTGAATACTTGAAGATTTGTATGGAGTCTTTAAAAAAGTCTTGATTGAATATGTCTAAATTTTTAAAAGTCTAAATTGAATACACCTCTAAAATTAGACTCATGAATTACTTCTTCTAAGAGCTTCCCCCTTATCAATTAGTTTTTACTATTTCTTCAAGTTTTTCCTAGATCAAATCTAATTTTAATTCAAGGAAGATCTCCACTAACACTCGTAATTGTCTCTAGATAATACTCGAGAAAATTTACTGATAGCACAATTGAGCCTTGAAGCCGAGAAATACAAAGTGAGTAATCTCGTCATTCTTTGAGTAAGTAAAACTTTTACAAATTTACTTTTATTAAGTGTAATTATTTTTTCGAGTTTCGAAAATTGACAATATTTTGATATACATACCACGTACTTCTTGTCACTTTCTAGAGGGTAACAAACCCTAGATATTCTAGGTTCTAATTTTATAAAGAAATATAAAGTTTTTAGGGTTTCCCTTCAGTAGTGCTTTCTCAATGGGAAAGTCCTATATTTTTGAAACCCTTGAAACTTTCGAAATAGGATTTTGTAGTGTAGGTTGATTGGTCACCAAGACGTCGTACTTAATAACATCTCTTATTGGTATATCTTAATAATTTATTAGATATACGAGGAAGATTTCGTTAAAGATTTTATTTGGCTAGAAATAGAATTACAATTGAACTGGGAAACTAGTTCTCTTTACTCCAAGATAAGTCTATCAAAATATTCGTGTGGAGAACTGAGAGACATAGTTTGTCTATATAGAACTTAGGGAGATTGGAGAAAAGTAATTGCAGACGATTCGATATCGATCAAGGTATGTTCTTAATTACTCTATACTTGTTTGTGAAAGTTATGATGTTTGTGCATTGCAAATTGTGGACAAAAGTGACCATAACTTTTGAAGTGAATCGATATCGGATTAGACTAGAACTGACCGATTCGATCTACTCTAGTTCTATTAAAATCGAAAATTGATCTATTCCGACCCGTATTCGATTTTAATATTTAAATAAAAAAATTGATTTAACTTTTTATTTTTATTTTAAACATGAGCAAGTGCAATGCACCGATTATCTATGTCATCTTTCAAATGGGTAAAGTTACGAGTTCTATGGAATATATCTTGAAAAAGCACTCCAAACATCTAATGTTATTTGTAAGAATAATATTATTCATAGATGGCGATTAGAGTAATCGCCCTATATGGCATGATTTTAATATTTTTTTTTTTTGGAAAAGGAATCAGTCAAATGGATTTCTATATTTTCATAATAAGTAGGATGCTATATAGGACGACCACTGTGGTCGTCGCCTACAAATAACAATATTCTATTAATAAATAATTATTTAAATTTCGTAGATGTAATTTTAGATTATTAAGAGTTTGTATTCCTTTCATACCTTCCAAGTTTGTATTGGTATGAAGCAAACGAAGTGAGATTAGGATATGTTTTTCAAGAACTCGTTCAACTCAACAATATTTTGTTTCTATTGGGAACTTGGATACTTGAAAAATATAGCTTAAGGACTTGTATTGTTAAACATTTCACTTACCAATGGTTAGCAAATTTGAGGATCTTAATTGAAGGAACCGAATTTGCTTGAATTACAAAGATGAAATCAATTGTTCTATTTCTAAGATACTTATTTATATTCGATTAGATTTTTTTTCAAAACTAACACGAATCAAACCGTGTTGACTCGTATTTCTCTTCACCCACACCACCAATCTCACCTTTTTCTGTGAAGATTGTGACTTGTGATTCAACGAACTGATTTTTCTGATATAACATGATAGTCAACCATCAAACTAATTCTCGTTTGGCTCTCATTAATTTTGATTATAATAGGGGAATAATATTTTTTTAAAAATGAATGGTTGTAAAAGAATGAAAAATTTTCGATTTACGTGTAATATTATTTTATTAAAAATTGTTTGATTGAAAATAGAATAAAAATTTTAATTTAATCTGATGAGATGTAATGGGGCTGGATTTGATCCATATTAGTAAAACATGGGGAAAAGAGATTAAGAAGAATAAAAATAACCAGAATTCAGTTGAATAAATTGAGAAATAATCTACGGACAATTAATGTTCACGGCATTATTAAAAAATGAAAAAGGAAAAGAAATATTAAGTAGGATTTGTATTAGGTAACAGAGATTTAAGGTTCCACAGCCACCAACGCCGTTACAGAAACTCGATTCTCCACCATAACCCACCAACCTAACCCTTATTTATTTTCCCAAACCCAAAGATTCAACTCTCCGATTGCTGCTTCAGTTTTCTTTGGTTCCTACTTTATTCCACTTCTCCGGCTGCTTCATTCCACAGTTAGGCAGCGATTTTTCGAATTGGTAGGTGCAGTGGTGTTTGGGTTGTGGTATGGTGTGCGATTTTGGTGCTTTTTGTGTGCCACCTCTACTTTTCTCAGGTTGTGGTGCGGTGGATATGTAATCGTGGGTTGTGGATCTGTGCAGGCGATGGGGATGTGGTGGTGGTGCGTTGGAGGTGGTTGTGGATTGTGGACCCGGGTGACATCGACGATTTGAGTGGTGACGATGTCGATGGCAAGGTGGCAATAGCGTTTGGGGTTGTGTCACTGGTGATGAGTTGAGTGTTGGTGCTGGTGGTGTCAGCAGTGTTTGGGTTTGGTGGTTGTTGGTACAGGTGGTGGTGGTTGTAGTGCAGTGGCAATATGGAGGTGGTAGTGGCATTTGAGTGATGCCAGTGGCGGTGGAATATTGGCGAATTAGTGGGATAGAACGAAGAGCGTTTGTCAATTATTTGAGAATTTGTCACCTGTCAAATAGGTAATTTGTGATCAATAGGTAATATGTCACCTACAAATGTGTGATTTGCGATTAAGTTTGTATATGTGACCTACAAATTTTATTTTTGTGATTGTGACTGTGACTGCGTGATTTGTGAGTCGTTGACAGGACACCTATTTCATTCCAATTATCAGAAGTGTTGAATTCCATTAGTGATCATTTGCTTCATTAATTATCGTTATTATTCTTGAAAAGGCTGGATCATATCCCAGTTACTTGAACCACCGGTCCACCTCTGTGTCAAATGTACGTACGCATGCACGTTATTATTTAAGATGTATGTAAGTTATGTGTTTTAATTGCTGGAGTGTTTTTTTATGGAGACAGACACACAATTTAGATAGGATTTTAAATAGAGTTCAATTGAAAATATGTTTGTTTAGATTAGGTTAGGTTAGGTTAGGTTAGCTTAGTTTTAATGATTCATTGAAGTTCTAATTCATTAAGAATTCTTTTGATTTTAGCTTTCTTTGCTCTATATAAAGAGGACTTGGGTATCCTTGAACATATGAAATAAACTAATTCTCCCTTTTCCTAAATTCTTCTTCTTGAAATCCCTTTTTTCTTGTACCTTTTCTTCTTCAACGATTCAATGTCAAATTGACGTTCTTCTTTGCTCTATTATAAGGAAGGCTTTTTTTTTTTTTTTTTTAGATATCCTTGAATATATGAAAAAAATTAATTTTCTCATGTCCTAAATTCTTTTCTTCCTAAACCCCATTTTCTTTCTCATTCATTTTTTTTATTCAATTGTTCAATGTCGATTTTCGTTCTTGGTGTTCATGTACATATGTGTGCATGTTTATTAGTTTATATGTGTACCTATGCTGTTTAACTATTTCTCTTTCCAAATTAAAGCTTAGTTAAGCCCAGGATTTTTTTTTCTTACTGTTGTTGATTATTTCACGATAAACTTTTCAGGTTTTCCTTGTCTAGCAGTTGGGCTGTGGGAAATTTAATTTCTTGGTTTTGGTTAAAGATTATGGTTTCACTATGAACGGTGGATTAAGCCGAGAGAATTCGAGCAAGCAAGAATTGGAGAATGGTTTTATACCCAAATACAAGCACCGGAAAGTCTCTGCTTATCGGAATTTTCCCCCTAGGTGTGGCGGTAATAATGGCCCAATAGGTTTGCAACCTGATGAAAAGAGTAATAAAGAGGGCGAAGTTTATACATTAAAGAGTTTGCCACCAGGGTTGCCAGTCACAAATGGCAGTATTAAGCAAGGGACTTCCCCTAGGCCGAGTGATAAATACCGTCAGCGAAGAGTATCTGCTCTTCGTGACTTCCCTCCTTTATGTGGAAGAAATGCCCATCGGAAAACTGAAGAAGAGCCACAAGGGAACACTTCTACGAATGATGACCTTGTTACGAAAATTAAGGAAACTAAAGTAAGTGTGTTCGACGAGATTATGACGATTTCTCAAAAAGAGTGTTTTTATGGAGTCGAAAAGGTTGATGAGGAAACACGATCAGCTGAGACGCTGAAGTATGGTATTGGAAGAGTGCCATCGGTAGAGCTATTGACTGACAATGTTAACCTTGGTGCTTCTCAAGAGACATTGAGGACTATTGCGGATGGTGTTCCAATGAAACAGATAACGAATGGTGGTTTAGGAGATGATGACATTGAGAAAACTGAACACCAAGTATCCATGCCTGGAGCAATCGATAATTGCGATGAGGATACTGAAGGGTCAGTGGTGAAGGAAATTGCTTCTTACTCAGGGCATGAAGTTCATATGGAGGTTGTGCAGTGCCTGATGGCGGCACCATATTGCCCTTATAGGCAGAAGAAAGTAATCAGTTGGCAACAGAAGTATAAATCTGTTGCTAGGAAAAGTTGTCTTAAAGAAGACAACTCAGGAAGGCCTTCTAGGAAAAAGATGGTTCGTGTTTCTGGCGATTCAGATGGAAGCCCAAGTGCATTTGCAATTGTGAAGGATGAGGAAGATTTTGGTGCAAATGATAAACTGCGTGATTTTGTCCTCTGTCTACCTGCTTATGGCTGTCGCAACAATTTCAGTCACGATGATGCTCGCAACAGAGTGATAGAGGCTCTTCACCTGTTTCATGTTCATTGTAGAAAGCTATTGCGAGAAGAAGAAGCAAAGTTTGAGCTAGAAGAGAGAGGAAAATCAAGGAAACTCGAAAATTCACCCTTAAGGATCGATCTTCGTGCAGCAAAGATCATCAAAGAGAAAAGAAAAGAAGTTCAAATGGGAAAGCAATTTTTGGGTGAAGTACCTGGAATTCACGTAGGTGACGAGTTTCAGTACCGGGTAGAGCTTTCTATTGTCGGTATTCACCACCCATACCAAGCTGGTATAGATTTCATGAAGCACAACGGACTACTAGTTGCGACTAGTATCGTTGCTTCTGGGGGCTATGCTGATGATATGGAGAATGCTGATGTTTTGATATACTCTGGACAAGGACCTCAAGATCACAAACTTGAAAGGGGAAATTTGGCTTTAAGGAATAGCTTATCCACAAAGACTCCTATCCGTGTTATCCGTGGTTGGAAAGAGACGACGGCTTCTGATTCTTCGGATTCAAGCGCTAAGATAGTCTCGACATATGTTTATGATGGCCTCTACACTGTAGAAAAGTATTGGGTGAAAACAGGGCATCACGGTAAGCTAGTTTTTACGTTTGAGTTGCGGAGAAATCCCGATCAACCCAAGGTTGCTTGGAAAGAGTTGAAGAAGTCGCATAAGTACAGAGCTCGTTCGGGCATTTGCGTAAAGGATATTTCGGGAGGAAAAGAGCTATTTCCTATATGTGTTGTGAATGTGATAGACAATGAGAACCCCCCGAAATTCAACTACATAACCAAAATGATGTATCCTGATTGGTTTTCCCCTATTCCCCCTCAAGGTTGCAATTGTACAGGGAGATGCTCCGACTCGGGAAAATGCCTATGTGCAGTAAAAAATGGTGGTGAAATCCCATTCAACCATAACGGAGCTATAGTCGAAGTGAAACCTCTTGTCTACGAGTGTGGTCCTTCTTGCAAATGCCCTCCTTCTTGCTATAACAGAGTAAGTCAACATGGGATCAAAATTCAGCTCGAAATCTTCAAGACAGAATCAAGAGGCTGGGGTGTAAGGTGCCCAACTTTTATTCCATCTGGAAGTTTTATATGCGAGTATGCAGGAGAGCTCCTTGATGATAAAGAAGCCGAACAAAGAATTGGCAATGACGAATATCTATTTGATATTGGTAGGAATTATCACGATTCAGAAAAATCAGTAAATTTAGTCGAAGTTTGGGAAGAAGGCTTTACAATTGATGCAGGTCACTATGGGAACATTGGAAGATTTATCAATCACAGCTGTTCACCAAACATTTACGCGCAGAATGTGATCTATGATCACGATGACACAAGAACACCCCATGTAATGCTTTTCGCGGCTGAGAACATCCCTCCCTTGCAGGAACTGACTTACCATTATAATTATTCACTGGATCAGGTTCTTGATTCCAATGGAAATATCAAGATTAAGAGATGTCATTGTGGCTCTGCAGAATGTAGTGGCAGGATGTATTAAGCTGTAGGATGCTTAAATTTTTTAGCCATCTTTATTACTAAATGTTTGGGTGTTGTGTTCAAATTATGGTATATTTTGTCTCATACCTTGTTAAGAGAGGTTTTTGTGGGGGTATTAACTCGGTTTTGCATGCTCAGGTAGAGTTTGGAGTTCTTTTATTTCTTCGGAGAACTTTTGCTGATAGTTTTATCTCTATTTTGTTGAAAGAGAGATTTTGTAACCGTGATTTTTTAGAGATTGTGTAATTAAGCCCTCATTTGGTAACAAGTTTTCACCGTAAAAAGTTGATTTTTTAATCGTTACTTTACTATTATAGCCGTCATTTTTACTTCTTCACTCATGGGCAAGATCCACTTTTCTCTTTAACGGTTAAAAAATCAATTCTCATAATCATTACCAAATAGGTCCTAAAAATAAAAATAAGTTTTGGATTTACATCTAAAATTAATGTATTTGGAGAACGTGACATTGAAAATAAGTTAGGCAAAAAAAAAAAAAAAAAAAAAAAAAACATAACGTGCTTTCAAGTAATTGGGCTGAAACATGAGCTTAATCCCACCACGTCAGAGTAGGAGAGAGACATGGTCAGCTTAAAGTTTACTGTATACAACAGTACAAAAATGGAAAAATGTGCAACTACTAACCGTTGAAGATACGCTTTCAAATTTAACAAACTTGTAAAATTCTTTCGAAAATCAGGTGGTATTAATTAAACACGTTTTATTAATTAAATTAATAATTAAATAGGTTAAGTTACAATAACATACAATTTATGATCACAGTTATATATTAATCACAATCGCAAAGCATCAAGTCACAAATTTTAGGTCATAAATTATTTCTCAATTACAAATTACCAATTTATTGATCAGAATTTACTTATCGGTTACAAATTATTAAATTAATTGATCATAACTTATTTTTCGATCACAAACTATCAAATTAACTGAATACAATTACCCTTCATCTTACCCATCTCGCCCCACTCCACCATCGTCGGCACCACCCAAAATGCCGCCACCTCTCAAATCCACAACCCTTAACCACTATCACCACCTCTATCTTCACCTCGACATCCACATCAAATCCAACATGGTTGCACCACCTACAATTCAATTCACAATCACTAGGCAACAACCTACCACCACAACCACTGTCCCCTAGTCCACAACCACCTTCTTTCTCCTTTGAAGTGGAAGTCCAACTTCTACGTGACTATTCCATAAATCAACTCAGCTTCACATGAAGCCAGGTTAAGACATCGCGACGCATCACTCATACAGGATACGTGAAAATTAATTCGAGTCTTAGCTACCACTTGTAGAATGGAAGCTTATCCTCAACTTTCTTTTATTTTTTAAAATTTTATATAGTTATATTTAAATAATCGGCATTTTACCAACAAATTAAAATTTAAACGATCACATTCTAATCAAGGCATAATAGAGAAAGAGAGGAATACTGTATATTCATAAAAAGTTTCCCAATAAATTCAGCAGAAGGCTTATACATCAACTCCAGTGAAGATATAGGTTACTGCCCTTCTGCATATATCACCGCATAAAAATTCTAGTGATATATCAAGGAAGTTAGAATTACGTATGTCAAAACTCGCGAATGGGGTATATTAAGCACTACAACCATGAGGGACAAAACACAATCAACATATCGAACATGCAGACCATGATCATCCACGGCCGGTAAAAGATGCACAAACAGCTCTCATGGATACAAGGTCGGGGATATATACCTATGTTGAGGTTTCATCAATCCTGGGCATAGTGTCCTAAGACACAGCATCCTATGTATCGATGAACAAGGTGTTCTCAAAATTTTCTTCGCAGCTGTTCAACTCATGGGAGTTTTCCGAAGGACTATTGTTGGTTTTCTCCATCTCCTCATCAAGCAAAATCTCCTGCGAGCGGCAACTCCAACTGCAAAACGCTTTCTCACCCCTGTCAAGACATCAAATGACCAAGAAAAAATTAGAACCTTAGGACGTAGGAGTACTTCATGCACATGTAACAGGAGATTATTAGGGAAAATTGCACATGTTCCCCAACTTATTGCTTGTGAAGCAAGTTGGTCTCAACCATTAAAAAGATAGGAGTCTTGCACAATTAGTCTCCAAAAATGGAAACCATCCAAATCTCTGCTTAATTGTCATGTGGCCCTCATGGAAACATGTTTTGCTTCAAATTTCAGGGCATCAACCCGAATTGTAAAAAAGCATAGAAATGTAGTAGCTAGACATGTGAAGGCCATGTGACAATTTAACAGAAATCTGTATGATTTTTGCTATTGGAGATGATCATGCAAATTTCAAGTGCAATTTTCCCATAAGATTAATTCATGTATCTGGAAAGAAAAGAAAAAAGGATTTTTGTGGCAAACCTATACATGTAGATATCTTCCCCATCCAATTTCTTCTTGCAAGAGTAACAAAATTTTAAGAAATCAATTGGTGGATAAAAAGCAATAATGTCGGAGACTTCTGCAGCCTGCGGCAATGCAATTTCCTCTTTGCTATCCGTGAAACAAGTGGCTACTTCATTGTTGTGACATTCCAAAACACAATCACCAAATATGTGTGTGACTTTTGGATTGGGGCCATGTGTTCTCACGCAGGTATAGTCCTCGGAAAGCTCAATCTCACTAGGCGGGATATTTCCAATTAAACCAGTTCCGGATCCAGTGGATTTTGGATCTGAACTAAGGTTTTTCTGAGATGAATTGCCTAAATTAAAGCTTCCTCCAATGGCTCCCGATTGTGAAGGCATTAGCCTTATAGAGTTCTTGGAATTGAAATCACCACATCGCTGGTCAGGCTTAAGGATAGAAAAATTTGCTAAATGCGAAAAAGACCTTCCAGAATCTAATGTAAAAGAGTGGAAATTTCCACCAGATTCCTCTTCAAATGGGGCTTCTCCAATTCCAAACAGGACATTAGAATTACCCTTTTGATGATTTGATGATTTAACTTGGGTACAAGGAAAAATTGCAACGTCTGTAGGCAGTGATTTTGGTACCTCAGAAGAATCATTGAGGTTTCGAAAATTTGAACTTTTTATCCTCATTTGTGGTCCAAAAAGAATATTTCTACTGTTGGACAATCGGAGAACCTTCTCTGAATGTTTACTTTCATTTTCGAGACAATCAATAATGCTTAAGCCTACTTTACTACAATCCCATCTCTTCTGATGCCCCTCATTTGATAATCTTGGGGACCTAAATGGATTGCCGAAATTCGCAAACAACTTAAAATCTAAAGGAGAAGTAGGGCTCCTAACTGAATCAGATTCTAAGTTCTTGGGATTGAACCCCACAAATAGACAAGGAGCATTAAAAAAGGGATTATTTTTAGTTTTCTGGCCTAAAACATCAGCATGAAAATAAGGCTCTGAAACAGCATCAAACATCAACTGATCCATCGGTTGATTCTTCTGGTTTGATCTGCTCCTTTTCCTCAGCATTATCTCAAAATCTTTGAAATACATGAAAGACCTGTCTAATATATTAAAAAAAAAAAAATTGTCAAGAATAATTACATTTATGACTTAATATCAGGATAAAAAGACATCGAGATTCTTATCAATTAAGTCTCAGTTTGGCAAATTAAGCCTCTGTTTGGCTCAGATTTTAATCTTAGTCAAAGTAAAACAATCAATATCAACCACGCCTTTTTTAGGTCTCACAACTCTTCAACCACATATTTCAAAAATTTCTGTCAAATTCTACTAAAAATCTAATTTTAATCCCTACCAAACACCCACTGTAAATAGTAAGAGGAATAGTAACTTAAGAATGTGTGCTTGAAATATGACATTGACTCAATTTCGAAATCATTTATAAATTTGTATTCGAACGGAGGCTAAGTCCAGAGTAGGCGGATTTAGGGAAAAAAAAAGAAACTACAGTTTCTTTTCTCTTTATTATAACTTAAAAATCAAGATTTCTATAGTAAAAATATAAAGAAAATGAGGACAAAATGACAGCAAGAAAGTTGAAAACCATATGAACTCCAAGAAACTCAATACAATTAAGCAGATTTATTAGGGGGAAAAAAATAAAGTGATGGCAGTAAGCATTCAAATAAAGAATCAAATTGCAGTTTGTTATCCCTTGAGAACAAATTAAAAAGGCAAGATTTTAGTGAAACATTAGAGAAAAATCCATCAGAAATAATTACATTTACTAATCAAACAAGCAATCGGAGTCAACTGGCTTCGAAAAATATTACAATTAAGACTAAGCAGATTTGGGTTGGGGTGTTTTGGGGGGGGGGGGGGGGGATAGGAGATGCAATCCCATATAATATCATTCAAACATCAAAGAAAAACAACAAACAAAGAAAATAAAAAATTATTCAAAATCCACATTTCAAACAAGACAATGCTGAGATCATGATTACCCAAAACTGAGAAAAATAAAGAATAGCAAGCCTTTTAATTCTATAAATATATTTGATAAATATATAACCAAATAGCAATTACCCAGATGACAAATGGATAACAGTAAATAAAAACCTTCAGTCTATTGGTAAAAACCTTGACTCTCTGAAGTCTCAAGAACAATCAAGAAAATAATACAATGTGTCATACCGACACATGAACCATGGGATTCAAATGAATAAAATGGATGAAATCTTACTAGAAATATACAAGCCAACGTAGATAGAGATGTATAGATGAAGAAAGAGAGGAAATTGTGCAAACCCACCTTGTTTTTCCCCACTAGAAACTTCAGGGAAATCGAGTTTCAGAAAAACCCAAATGCAGTAAAAAGTGAAGAGAAAATCCCCCACCAACCCCCACAGTTTCTCTGTATACGCGTGAAACTTGTGCAGGACTACAACTCCTGAGTTGCATCGAAATCAGAGAGCAGTGAGCTTCTCTCATACAACACCTCTCTTTATTTCTTTCCCATTTATGTATTTACACATGTCAGTTGGCATATGGATTTAGAGCAAATGTCAGAGATGCCCCTTAAATTACTGAATATTACAGACACACCCTTTTTCTTTTCAAAAATTACAGAAATATCCCTAAAGTTTGTTTTCTATAACATATTTTCCTAATGAAGCCAAAAACAATTGTAAAATTCCAATTTTAGCATTTCGCTTTTTGTTATAATTGAAATTATTATTAAACGATATGATTCTATTTTTATTTTCTTTCTCGTTTCAATTTTTTTTCCATTTTTTTAATTAATATGGAAGTTTCGATTTATAAGTTGAAAATTTTGTACGGTAAAAATTAATTTAGATGAGAAATCTATTTTCCCAAAACAGAACTCAGACAAACGCCTAATGTGTCAAAAATCAAAATAATTCCCGTTTGGTACGTATTAATGTAAGAATGGAAATGAAAAATATAGTCGTTACGGACCCTACACAAGAGATACAAAATCAAATATGATGACTCGATATGATGAATAACGGTCATATTTTTTATTTTAATGGACAAATAATGAGAAACAAACAGTGACTCAATTTTCAATTTTGATTTGGTTGTAAAATGATGGTTAATAACGATGACTAATTAATTTTATCTAAATGACTAGATGTTAATTTGTTTATTTTTTTACTTTACTCTATAAAAGTTTATTCTATTAACTCTTATTGAACCCTGTATATAAGGTCATTGTTCAAAATGAAATATACACTTGAATTTTGACTCCATACGTTTCTTTTTTATTATGTTTGAGCTCCATTTACTGTAAAAAATGAGATTTGTAATAATGATTTTTTTTAAGAATGTATAGTTAAAAAATAAGAAAAAATTTTGAAAATTCGTAAAATAAAAAAAAATACTTAGAAAGTGAGGCTCAAACTGAGAAATGTTCTTCATTTACCTCTTAATTTAATAACAGAAACCATATTTCAGTTGAGATTATCATATTTGGGCCTTTGGCCTAGCTTAAACAATCTACTTCTTTACTTTTAAATTACTTATTTTTATCAAATATGCATAATTTTCAGAGATACGTTTTGCCAAGCATGAAATTAACTTACGAAACTCAAATGTACAAAAAGGTGATTTCATATTCTAAACTGCAAATAATTAAATTTACGTAGAGTCTCATTATTTTCATCAAACTACATTTTTCAACAGTAATTTGACCTCATTTCAATAACACATTCTTCATTAAAATAATATTAAACGTAACACATTTTCCATCAATACACTATTCAAAAATCTATTTGTTTGGCAAGAATGGGGCTCAAACATAAGCCCTTGTTTGAGCCATATTTTGGTAGAAAAATGTATTTTTCAATAGTGTATTGATGGAAAATGCGTAATTAAAAAGTAAGGAAAAATTTTGAATTTACATGTAATATTATTTTATTAAAGAATGTGTGGTTTAAATGATATTAAAATATTGTTAAAGAATGCATTTTTTCTCCAAAAATAGGGCTCAAACTAGGGTTAAGATTTGATGATCTACTTTAAATTCAATATTATTAAGCTGTTATTTGATTTAGTTCGAAAATTAATTAAAATTTAAGTCAAAGTCAATAATTTAAATTTAACAAAATGTGTAATGAAATTCACAATTTTTTAATCACACATTCCA